ATATATATATAAAAAAGAAAACGAAAAAGAAATTCAGACCGCGCGCTACCGAGTTTATGAAGAAGAAAAACAAAAGATGAAACCAGGAGAAGAAAAATCGGCAAGTAACATATATCTCATCAAGATGTTTCATTGTAAGCAGATTTTTACGGTGAAAAGCTGAAATAATTTTACTAAACCACTGGTTGATGCCAAACGATTTTTCCACTCAGACAGCCTGATACGAACAAACAGTGCCTAGGAGAAAATTTTGTACTGACTACAATGCCAGAGTGGCTAGCATTTGTTACTAATTCGTGCAATCGTACAGGCTCGTTATGGGGAGGGACACAATTGGATAATTCCGAACAGTCGCTAGAAAATGCCAACAATCGTACGCCATAGCCAAACGGTGAGCATATTAGCCGACCATCAGCTGAGAAACACAATTCTTTGATGTAACCGGAACCTACGTTGGGTTCCTCGATGTAATGCGTTAACCTAGGTGTATTTTGATGAATTTTTCGATTTCTCGGAATAGCGTACATCGTTTGTTGATCCTGTCTGTTTCGATTCTGAACTCTGATTCGATCGCCAATTATAACGACGGTATTGTTACTTGATCTAGAGAGCCAATCCCTCTCCCTTCTAAGCCTAGCTTCTCTAATCGCTACGTGTGCCTCCCACACATCGGTTGTACTTACGTGTAATTCTATATTACCGGTAGAAAAGTTGTCGATAATATTGCGTGGTCTTAAGTAGTTTAGATGGGAACTTGGTCTCGGGGGTCTGTAATCCTGGCCCGACTCCCTCTCTTGGTCACCAGAACCCTCCTCCAGTATACTCTCATCAGCCGCGTATATATCAGCCGCGTATATATACCTATCTGCCTGCCTATCGTCCCTGTCCACGCTTACCCGAGAATCGGACGAGCTTGAACTAGAACTAACTTCGATCGCACCGAAATTTGCTCTTGTCGCATTTCTGTCTAAACGCGAATTTCTAGATTGCGACCGTGATGCCCTGCGAGATGCTAAACGCCAGCTACTTCTTGATGTTCTAACTGGCTGTGCGTTATCCGATAAACCGGTTGTATTCGGTCTCGTATCAGATGTAGTATGAACTACTCGAACGCGATTGTTTGGACTCTCTATTAAAAAGGAAGATGTTATACCCGTACGAGAAGACTGAGGTTGCTGAAAATCTTCGAATTCCTCTACGGGTACTTCGTTAAATTGAGGCACTGTTTCCTCTCCTTCTTTCGTCTGGTCTGCTGTAGCAGATACATCGCGCTCTTGTATGTCGTGGATACAAGTCCACTGAAACAATCGTATACATAATGTACATTACGTATTCATTATGTAACAAAAGTACGTACGGTCGAAGTGGCGCACTTTCGTGTAAACTTGTTAACACCAACCTCAGATTTCTCTCCACTGCTGACATTTCTGGACAAAGCACACCATCCCTTAGGATGCACTTGCAAACTCGATATTATTTCAGCGTCATCGCCAACAGGGAAATCAGTTAAAAATTCTACTCTGTTATGCGGACGAGAATGAGAAAACAGATGCGTGAAACTTGCTACGTTCGGTATCGTAGTTTGAGACGATTGCATTAACCGATACATATTCGGCTGAAATAAAAATAATTAACTATTATCTCGTGTGAAATACAATATGCGATATAAATGTGTAATATAAAAAATGAAACATACTCTAAATCCCGATAAATCCTGGCTTAATGTTCTTAATTTAAGATTGTGTATAATGATGAGGTATCCAGAAGTGGTACTTATTAACATTTTACTAGCATCCGGACTAAGCCTAGTACGCATCAAACCATTTGTATGAAACACAGGCGTATAAAGGAAACTATTCTCCGTAAAACTATTGATATCCCAAGTATATATGCTGCCATCGAAACCACTGGTCAATAATAAACTATCTTTGGGACTGTATTCTATATTTTTCACCCAATTCGAATGACCTCTAAGAGTTCTTATTCTTTGCTTTAAGTTTCTGGCATCCCAAAGAGCTACCGTGCAATCATCTGAACATGTTGCAAACATACGTTGATCCAGAAACCTATTACGAGAGAAAATTATTATTATAAAGCTATTATAGATTTAAAGAAATATCTATACATGCCTAACGCAGTTAACACAATCGCTATGAGCATTATCAATTGCATGGATCAATCTTCTTCTTAACGGATCAAACATGAGAATACTTTTTTTTTCACATGCCGCCAGCAGGAGGGAGCTGTAAAGAAAAGAGGAGAAACAAAGTGTTATTGATATATGCGATATGTCCAAGTGGAATTGAAGAATCGACAACTACGTGTACTTACCCATCCGGGGAGTACTCAAGATTAAAAACTCCACCATGGGCAGCATTTGCGGACAATGCATGATCCCAAGAAGTTACTGGTTGTATAGAGGAGTAAAGGGTTTTATGAAAACGATCAGCATGTCCTAAAGGGAATTTTATACCCAATTCGCGTTGCCTTAACCAGAGGCTATTTGCTTGTCTGGTTTTTATTTTAGGCATTTCAGCCAGGTGTGAATTTTACCAGCATCCAACTAAATATATTTACAGACTTGGGTAAGATGCAGTACTTCGTAAACAAGGCTAAATAGCGTATAATTCAAACTTGAACTTCATAGAATCGTGTTAAATCTTTCTATTATTGCTCGACGTAAATGATGGCTGCCTATATCGTTCCGAAATTAATCGATAAATATTTTTTATCACTTATCTGACAAATGATACAACATCGACGTCGTTACTTTGAAATTTTTACGTGATTTGAAGATGATCGTATAACACCGAACAAGGCTAAGGTTAAGTGCAAGATGCCACTAGCGGGCAGTATTACACGTGACTCTTGACAGACGCCTCCACGTTTTTTTCAATTGACGATCTTCGACAAGGCCAAGAATAGAGTAAATAACTGACCAAAGTGTCACGACTACATGCAATGTCAGATTTCAACAGAATTTAAAGAAATTTTCAACACCTGACACAACACGAATCAACGCCATCTTTGCTTTGACATACAACGTCGTACGTTGAGAATCGACTCGGGCGCGAGTCTCGAATAAGGTTCCCGATGTGTCAACTCTTTTAACTAAACTAAACAAACAAATACTTCGTATTATCAAAAATCCACTGTTGTCACAGTCTTTTTCTCTACGTTAAATCGTATAAAATTAGAAATTCAATCAAGTATGACAAACTGAAGTTGACATCCATTAGTAGAAAACCGGTCTTACACAAGTTTAAATATGGCATCGTAATTAATGTGTAAGTGATACTAATTTATATTAAATGTACATACAAACACAAATCTTATTATTTTCCTAATATATTTTTTCGACAACAATGTGTACAATTTTGCGTAAGCATGTGTACATTAACATAAAAATATACATATTACATCAGTATAACGATCAAAAGATATATTTTTCTTTTTTTTTTTTTTTCCTTTTTTTTTTATAGAATCGAAACTTGGGGTATACACACTTTAGTAGTTAACATTCATTCCTCATCATACGACTCAACTTCCCTGTCAAAGTCGAGGCCACTTCCGCGTAAATACTTTTCGCTCCATTCATCGAATCTTTGAGACAATTCTTCGGACATGTAGTTTCTCCAATCACCGACTTTGCCCTTTCTAATAAATTTGTCGTTCCCAGGCAAATCCTTTTGCGGCAAAATGTGCTCCAAATTTATGGCGGGATTAGCTGCCATTTTTGAAAATTTCAAATGTTCGCTAAGGTCAGCGATTTGTTCGTCCGTCACAGATTTTCCTAGAAATTTCGCGGTTTTTCTAATTGCTGCCACCTGATCCTGCAAACTCACTGTTTGAAATATCACATCTAACGTTGTAATTACCACCATTACCTTTTTCATCCCCTCGTACGTTAGGAACAATACATTTTCTTCGTCCCTCATCGCCCAGAATTTCAAAACGTGATTCCAAAATGAGCCCATCGGTGCTTAAATTGAAAATATCGCGTGCTAAGTATGTAAACGTCTCTATCGGTACATTGACATTGAATACGTACCACTTTCATTTAGAAATAATTCAGCGAAGTCCTCGAAACTTCCTGTTATGTTGTGAAACGTTTTACAATAATGGTAAAAGCTGACACACGTATCCTTTGGATTCCTAGCAACGTAGATTATCTGAAACACCCATAATATCGATGTAATTACGGTTCATTTTCTTTTATCGCGTACTTCTGTTACTTTACGTAATGCTACCATTGCTGGTTACGACATAACGCGGTGTTAAAAGCGTACTTTCGGTTTCTTTTGGTGAATTTGTTGCGGCAACAATTCGAGCGGAAGATGAGACTTAACGTATCTCGTTCGTGGCATCTTTACAACATTTTCAACAGAATCACCTAGCTTCGCGAACCATTCCGCGTAATCCCCGGTGACCATTAACGCTGAAGCCCTAAATCGATGAGACATATTTATACCAACTTGCGAAAACTTGCGACAGTTTTGTCATCTTCTACGTTGAAACTTACTCGAGCAATGGATTTCGTATGACCAATAGAGTCTGTGCGTTTTTGTAGTCAAAGTTATTCCCGATACACCATACCATTTCTTGGGCCCAGTGACTACCTGTGGTTTGAAACAGAAACAAGGCTGAAGATCCAGATCGTTATGAATTAAAGTTACTTTCGATCGCGTTTTACCAGTTCGTGGATATGACACCATCCATACATCGTCCTCGTAGATCTCCATATCCCTGATCTTCGTCCCATAAAATACGAACTGAGGTGGTAACAAACATTGACCCGGTTGTACTGTTAAGAAACTACATCTCACACCAAACATCTTATCCAATCTCTGTCCTACATCTCCCTCGATCGTGGTGAAGCTAAGAGGTTTCTTCTCCACTGCAAACATTACGCTTGATACAATAACAGAACCGTACGATCATTTGTTTAAATGCACCTAAACTCACTTTGTATACAATTTTGTCGAGTAACTCGAACGACACTGCCACGCGATCGAAGATGCTAATACGCCTACGGTTTGAGACGAAATGAGAATGTCCACGAGTTTATTGGTATCTCTTCGGACCACTCACAATCCAGTTTTTTTCTTTTCTTTTTTTTTTTTCCAGCTAAAACAACTTTCGATTCTCGAGCACTTTCGCGTAGATACGCTTACAAATGTATTTGGATCGAGCCGATTTCGTAAAAATCCGTGAAAAGTATCTGTTGCAACGGAAATTGCTCCGCTGTCGAATTTTTGTAAAAGGAGATAAATTTTATTTCGACTTCTCCCTCTGCTGTGGAAATAATTCTACGTTTCAAGCAGAAGAAATTAACGCAAATTCTAGTTTGTTTAAATCGTGATTGCTTTCAGTCGTACATAACTGCTGAGTACTTTTATAAGATCTAATTGCTCGGAAAAGTGGAGTCGATCGTGACGTAAGATTTAATCATTGACGCAGAAAATGATCCCAATGATATTAACTTTCTCGTTCACAGATTTCACTTCCAGAGAAAGTTGACACATTCTAGCCAAATGTACGGATATGTGTCATGCGAGGTATTTAGATTTCGCTGAATATCACGATGCTGTATCTCGATGTATCTCGTATTAAATCAAAGATCCGTGTTTAATTCCATATCGCTCGTTCATAACGTGTAATATAGAAAAGAAACTTACGAAAGATAGCAAAGTTGTAGTCGAATTTAATTTTCTTCGCGCATACGCAAGACATATCACGTGATTCGAATTCCAATCACGTGATTTATCGATCAATGACAATCACTTGGAATGCGGAAAGATAGACGTTATATTTGGATATTTGAATATTTTTTAACATACTTGAACATTTTTCTGCCCAAATTTTATAATGGTCACTTTGAGAAATGTATTTTATTATTGTTTGGAAAGTAATCACGAAATAATTATATAAACGTGAATTCTCTTTTATTTTACGCTAAAAGACTTGTACTTTCCAAGTAATCCTTTCACGTATGAAATATTTGTAAGTTCAAAGGGTACGCGGGATATCAAATACTCGCTATATAATTAATAGAAATAAAGATTCTTTTATTCTTATTAAATATAAAGATTCGAGGTTTATGATACAATGAAACGTTTTAAATTTATTAATATAAAATTACAATATATTCACATACTCGAATGCATCGATCTCGCTCCGATTTTGATTCATTTCCTACATAGGAACGCACATAAATATTCCGTCTGCAACGCTGATGAAATTCTTCTTTCCTATTCTATTTACTAAAATCAGTCAATTTGTGCTTGCATAATAAGGAGGTACGACTAATCTTAGCAGCTTATATCTAATTTTATAACAAACGAAAAAACACAGCCATTATTCCTGCGAGTAACGATAAATGTCGAGTAACAGCGACGCTTTTCGAGTAAGCATCCACAACGTGTATCTTCCAACCCATGTTGGCGTGAGTAAATGAATTGTAATAAACCATATCAGGCCACGTGGAGTTCGGTGTAACTTCCAAAATTCCACCCTCTCCTACGAAAAGTCACATTAATTAAAGAAGAATCTTCTTTCGTTCGAGGGAGACAAGAGAAAATCCTATGTATCACTTTACCTGGCTCACACGTACTCACTAATGACCTATTGAATTGTTTAAACGTTACAAAATCATCGTCTAGTCTTCTATCTCGTCCGCCATGTTTGCTCAAGCAAAGCGGACCAACTGAGAAAAATAAATTATTCTCGCGTTACGTTTCTCTTTCCAAACGTATCAAATTATTGAAATATTTTATAAACCTGCGGTTGGTCTGGGTTGTCCTCTTCTGGTGAATTCGACTCCAGCCAAAACTCTAATTTTACTTTTCGCTGCGTCGCTGAGTTTATCGTATCCGCCGTGTGGTTCATTAGTTATAATCAACGGATGGTACAAATTGGAACTGTGAGGATTATTTCCACCATGAATACGGAAGTTGTAAGTTAATCCACGACGCAGATATAATTCGGGCACCAGTTGGCCCTCGATGTACCATGCTAAACCTGTGGATGTTTGTCCTACGAAACGTATACCGAAGTTACTATGCGGTTTAATTAAAAGAAATCGAATAAATATCGATATCATGAACATCTCGGGTATTTATCAAACCTGTGATTCCTTGATATCCCTTCTTGCCTCCAGACGGGCCAATCGTGGCTTTAAACGTTCGAATACTTCTGTCGAATATCTCTGCCTTCTCCCACGGTTCTCTGCCAAAGTGACGTTGATAAATAGAGTGCTCGAGTACTCGTGTAGTTACTAACTAGTTTATTACTCACATTAATTTCTCATCGTTTTCCGTAAAATCCATGCACGTGTTCTCGGGCTCCTGACGGACCAATTCTAATTTCAGATCACCCTTGGGGTATACATCGTGGAATGTTGGCTCCTTATTCTCGTCTAATCTCCCTAGAGCCCATACCACGTAAACTGGTCGATCCGTTGGATATTCTTTGTCTCCTGGATCGGCTATGACACAAAGTATGTCGTACAATTCCAGGTCAAGCTGTGTTCTTTCTATTCTGAGTTGTAACTTACACGAGATAAGGGTACGCCTGTAAGTAACAACGTTAATTCCATCCTCTCTAACCGCGGTATACATCTGATTATTATCCAAACCACCGAACAGCTCATCCCTGCACACTCCTTTGTATTGGCCGAGTACCTTCCCACACTGCTCGTGAAACAGAAACGAATTATTTCGTATTCCATGTCTATTCACGGAATACTTTTTCCATATACATACCGGAGCTTTCGCTGTAATGTTGTAATCTACCGCGTAGCCTCTGGTACCATCCACATAAGCAATTACGACGTCTGCACCTTCCATTTGGCTAGAAGTCTCGGAACCGGATAGACCAAACGCCATGTATTCGTCGTCATCTAGAGCAAGTCGATGCTGTAGGTAGAAGGAGAAAGAGGGAAATTGCATTAATACTTACTGACTTGTCCCGCTAATTGAACGGTGATCTGAGGACCGAAAATTTCCCAGCTAACTTGAAATCGTTTGTGAAGTTGGACGCAATTCGGCAAAGTCTGCGTGTGTTTGATCACCTGTACTTTGATGGATCGATCATTGGTACATATAGTTTCATTCGAATAGATGATAAGGAATTGGAAAAATGTATTACTTTTACTAACGAAGGAGGCACATTTAGTCCATCCGGAATTATAACAGAGCCGTAGTTCGATTTAGTCTTCACGTCGAAAATACTCAGCCAATCGATATTGAACACTGTCATGTCCCCGGGTAATTGAATGATTACATCCTCTTCCTTGTAGGCATGAATAGGATCCAAACTGACAGAACAAGGAACAAATTAGCTCAGATTCTCTTATCTATTTGTTAGAAATTTCTATCGACTACTTACTAGCCATATTCATCGGGAACTTTGGTCCCTTTGCTAGAAGGTTGTGGTCCAAGTCCTACCCAGAAATACGTGTCTGTCCCTTCCCCATCGTATGTGAATTCTGGTATTTTAATAGTTTTTGAGTCCATGATTATGAGAGACTCCGAAGACACGCCATGGGACCGTTTCGTTAATTGAGAAATCTTCTGTGGAGCCGGTGGATCGAATTCTTCGGGAATGTACACGTCGCCAAACGTATTCTAAACGAAACAACTTTGCGATTAATTATCTATTGGAATTAATTCGATTACCTATTAACACGGTGTGTGATGATCATCGTAGAATACCTGGCTGCCCAAGTCGTACACAGCGAACCATTTTATATCCGTTATCTTTTTATTGTCTGGCAGGGTAAGCGTGAAATCCTTATTGAAGTATCGATCCAGGACATTTGTTCTGAAACATAATATACCTTTTAATCGCGTGACTTTCACGTAGATTCTTGTAGACCAAAGTAAACTGACTTGCCCCATTCGTCCGGCACGATGAAACCTTGCGGGCCAGGTCGATTCGATGCACCAGCCCAGAAGAAAGTATCGGCTCCGTTGCCATCGTAGCTGAAGGAGATCAGCAACAACGTGTACTCGTCAACCACGTAAACATCACCAGCAACTTGATGATGATACGCGTTCAGCTTGCCGAGGTATTTTCCTTTATATTCTTCGCTATCTGACTCGGCGAAACCTGTCGATTTCATTTCGTCGTGAGTCACGCAGTGATTAAAAAAAAGCCTACAAGTAGCTCCGGAGTTCTTTGTTCTAAATCACGGTCACGAGAGAAAACAGAGAAAATGAAATCTCGGAATGTAGACCACTACTTTTATATTCCAATTACCGTTTATATTCATATATGCGAATGGAAACACATCGCGATGTTAACCTGTCGGATATTCGTCACGTTGACACACTGAACACCCTAGAAACTTCCCAAAATTATCGAAATACGCGTATTTAACCAACGGAGACTTTAACGCCTGATCAAGGAACGTCATTAGCCTCCATATTAATTACTCACAATCAGACTATAACGAATGGAGCCATCGTGAAAACGTACGATTTGCTCGTGCAATGCAACATCTTGGGCAACATACCACAGGCAGGAAAGAGCACGCATGTCAGAACTGTCACAAGAATACGCGTTATCCACCTCCTAGTAACATCTGCCATCACTTCATCTTCCTTAGATTGCCGTAAACGCCTCAGGTCCTGTTTCTGAACGATTCTTCGGTTTTGTCACTGCCCTGATTCATGGAAAAACAATGGCTCGGTCGCAAATGAAGCAGCGAAGTCTTGAGGAAAGAGCGAAAGGCACACAGTCACTGCAATGGACGCGGTTCCGACTTGTTCTGGCCACCGTCTTTAGAAAGTAGACTTTGAGTGTTTGAACGGTTAGTATACCGCTCTCCAGCCACCTTGGCACGTGTTCCAGACTCGAAGAGAAAGTGTGCGTGTTCTGGAGGTGCCTCGAACGCGTTTTCGAGTCTACGAACGGCTCACGAGTCTCTCGGCGTGCCAAGATAGAGGGGCAGTGTCACTGGACTCTTGTCCTTCCGGTGCTCACTAAAATGGAATGCACGTCGGGGAAGAAAGAAAGACAGCTAACGAGTGACTAAGGCACATCTATCGACAGGTATTCTTCTTCATTCCCGAATGCCTCTTCGCTGACCGACCATGGGAAAAGGGCAGGAAATGGATTTTTATTAACTTCGAATCGTGTTTTCTAATCGAATCTGGCTATTATTAAGCACATAAATATCAACAAGGTGCGCTGATTAATTGAAACGTCAGTGCACGATGTTTGATCGATCAGAACCGGCGCGGAACCGAGCAAATAGGTCTTCCAGTCGTACGTGCAATTGCAAGTCAAACGTTTGATATGTCGTTTAATAATCGTGCAATAATGTTAAACGCGAAATTAAATTATGAAAAAAATGGTAAGATAGCGAGGATTACTGCAAAATAATTTTTAATTACCTCACAGTCACTCGCGTTTCGTAGATTCGAGCGAAGAGGAATTTATGTGGCTTCTCAGATTCGCCACTGTCAAAAAGATCAAAGATTTTCTAACGAAGATGTGAGTTCAGGAACGCACGTTTCCTCGCGGATGTTAATAATTCGTGCTATAATTGTAGCCCGTCGATAGACCTGCATTATCCCACTCCAAGTTTGAGAACACCTGTAACATCGGCTATTGATCGCGGCGATCCCCAAATTTTATTCTTTCTGCTGGAAAAAAGTTCGACAAATCTGGACGATACTACTACTCAACCTTGTGGCAAAACTGCGCTTATGTACGCTTCTTTCGTTTCGAGACACCCAGAAATATTGCAGACTCTTCTGAAGAAAGATGCAGACCTTCGAAAAGTGGATATGTAAGACGTACAATCAGTGTAATTGATGTAAGCAAGCTTTTATTTAACGGATATATACTTGCAGCAGGGGCTGGACTTGTCTTCAGTACGCCATCGTAGGAGAACGACCGAAAAACGTGAAATTTCTTTTAGATTCTGGTGCCCTCGTGGACCAAAGAGACGCTCAGGGACGAACACCGCTTATGATCTCAGGTAAGAATGCTCCAGGCGAAGACGGCTTGAATATTTATTAAGAACCGTTTGTCCAGTGTACCGTTCAAATTTGGACGTTCTTTCGATTTTATTGGATTACAAGGCGGACGTCAATTTACGCGACAGTTTTGGGCTTACCGCCCTTCAAATAGCAATCTTATGGAGGAAAAGGGATGCAGCGATCGTATTAATTGAAAGAGGAAGCGACATGAGCGTGGTTACACCTTCGACTAGAGCCTCGATTGGTGAACTATGCAGAACCACTATGCCGAATATTCTTCGATGCCTCGAACCACAACCTAGAATATCATATTGTACCAATCTCCATGACATACCAGAGAATTAAAATCCCTTATATTTTCAATGCCCTTACTGAATGTAGTCATTGGATCATTCAATCATTTCATCGAATTCTAAGTCGTTGCGCTTTTGATTTTTATTTAAATCCATTTTTTAATTATTTTTTTATGCTGGAATGTTGGCTGGGCAACTGAATAGACGTAGTTTAAAAATATAAAAGTGATTTAGTAAAACTATGTTCCCAACGATAATCTCTAAAAGCTAAACTCTCACTGATTTGCAACTGAAACAATTTCGTTATTCGATACGTAAGTACGCATGAATTTTTAATATAAAGTTGTTAAAAAATAAATTTCCATTTAACTTATAAGATGAGAATAAATTTTTCGTTGTTTTTACTTTTCGTGTAATACTTCGTTTCAACCAAAGATACTGAAGAAATACAAATATATTTCGGCATACATATACGCATCATGGAAACTTATTCCATGGAAATGCAAATGCAGTTATAGTTCATACAAAATTTATAAATTATCAAGTTTATCATTAATAATAAATTGAAATTGTTAATAACAAATTGCACAAAGCATAAAAATACTTAATACACATGCATCACGGATATTTATACCCTAAAGGTATAAATTAAGTTTATAAATCATTATATTTAGCGTTAATAACAAACTAATATTGTTAATAACAAATTATTCGCAATGAAAATTTATAATAAAAGTGAAAAAATTAATATATTGTTGGTTATTGCTTGAACTGATAACAAATTTATATTAAAATGTACTACTAATTTACAGAAAGCTTATAAATTATTATACTTATTGTTAATAATAAATTAATATTGTTATTAATTTTATTATTAATTTTATAATTATTTTTATTAATTTATAACGTTTCTGCTGTGGAAATGAAGCATTTATTAATTTGTCATTTTCGTAAGAGATACGTATTTGTATTTGCTTTATTGATATTAAGATATTATTATTGATATTATATAAGAAACGTTGTTTGATATTCTACATCGATACTTTAGTATATGGTTATTTCAAAGACGCAGCATTTTCCCGCGAGAAAAATGCACAAGATTGTCTAGCGTCAGTTATCTTCAGTTCCGCGCCAAACGAGCATATCGGTAACAAATAGTGGAATAATTTTGTACGTCAAAGTGAAATATTGAAGATTTCCACAAAACGTTTCGTAAAGCAGTGACATCGGTGATGGAAGTTTTAATTGCTACAACTGAGGAAATATATATTTAAGGACTATAACGCGACGTTTCGGGTATTAGTTCGCGACAATGCAGTTGTAGGTTACGTTTGTAACATTATTGAAATATTTACGAATAAGAGATAGCAAAAGTTTAAGAAATTGTTAGAAATTTACGAAGTTCAGGATTACTAACTGTGAATATTTCTTTGGTGCTAATATATTACGTGTAAAAAATAGTGATTTGACATAGTGAAAATCGTATAACGATACATGCGTGAAATGAGGCAGTGTGAGTGCGGATCGTGTAATGCTATCGCACAGTCCCCAACCGTCGACTGTAGCAGATTCTAGATCTTGATTGTCCAGTAATATATTTGAACATTTTTACTCTGAATAGGCAGCTTGTTAACAGTTTTTCCAATTTTTCTTCAATCTTCACGTTCCATTGCGAAGTAGCTACGTATTATTGCTTATACATTCTAAACGTCGATTGTGGATTAAGATACTTCATTACTAATGCATAGAAAAGATTATTCTCCAACCAGTAGGGCACTTATTTTACGATTGAAGGTGCATATATGAAACAAAGTGACGGAAAAGCAAGTACCTGTGAAATCGTTCTACACAGTTTACTTTTCTCGCCTATATTTCCCAAGTTAGGCATTTCGGTTACGTTTTTTCGGATTAACAGCATAGAGAGAATTCTTCCTTAAAGGGATTGATGATTTTTTTTCGGTTTCCAGCTTACGTTTTCGAGAAATATTATCGGAAGTGTCAGTGGCTGTCAGTTCGTGCTGCGCAATAAACTTTTTTGCCTTCTAGTTTTTGAATTAGGCATTTAGGATCGGATTTTTCCACTGTTTCGCGTAGAGTGATTTTTTCCTTAACGGGATTGGATATTTTTTTTCGGTTTCCAGTTTACGTTTTCGAGAAATAGTGCCGGAAGTGTCAGTGGCTGTCAGTTCGTGCTGCGCAATAAACTTTTTTGGCTTCTAGTTTGTGAATTAGGCTTTTCGGATCGGATTTTTCCACTGATTCGCGTAGAATGATTTTTTCCTTAACGGGATTGGATATCTTTTTTCGGTTTCCAGTTTACGTTTTCGAGAAATAGTGCCGGAAGTGTCAGTGGTTATCAGTTCGTGCTGCGCAATATACTTTTTTGGCTTCTAGTTTTTGAATTCGGCTTTTTGGATCGGATTTTTCCATTGATTCTCGTAGAGTGATCTTTTCCTTAACGGGATTGGATATTTTTTTTCGGTTTCCAGTTTACGTTTTCGAGAAATAGTGCCGCAAGTGTCAGTGTCTGTCAGTTCGTGCTGCGCAATAAACTTTTTTGGTTTCTAGTTTTTGAATTAGGCTTTTCGGATCGGATTTTTCCATTGATTCTCGTAGAGTGATTTTTTCCTTAACGGGATTGGATATTTTTTTTCGGTTTCCAGTTTCCGTTTTCGAGAAATAGTGCCGGAAGTGTCAGTGTCTGTCAGTTCGTGCTGCGCAATAAACTTTTTTGGTTTCTAGTTTTTGAATTAGGCTTTTCGGATCGGACTTTTCCATTGATTCTCGTAGAGTGATTTTTTCCTTAACGGGATTGGATATTTTTTTTCGGTTTCCAGTTTACGTTTTCGAGAAATAGTGCCGGAAGTGTCAGTGGCTGTCAGTTCGTGCTGCGCAATAAACTTTTTTGGCTTCTAGTTTTTGAATTAGGCTTTTTGGATCGGATTTTCCCACTGATTCGCGTAGAATGATTTTTTCCTTAACGGGATTGGATATTTTTTTTCGGTTTCGAGCGTGCGTTTTCGAGAAATAGTGCCGGAAGTGTCAGTGGCTCTCAGATCGTGCTGCGCAATTTACTTTTTTGGCTTCTAGTTTTTGAATTAGGCTTTTTGAATCGGATTTTTCCACTGATTCGCGTAGAGTGATTTTTTCCTTAACGGGATTGGATATTTTTTTTCGGTTTCGAGCGTGCGTTTTCGAGAAATAGTGCCGGAAGTGTCAGTGGCTCTCAGATCGTGCTGCGCAATTTACTTTTTTGGCTTCTAGTTTTTGAATTAGGCTTTGTGAGTCGGATTTTTCCACTGATTCGTGTAGAGTAATTCTTCTTTTAACGGGATTGGATATTTTTTTTCGGATTCAAGTGTGCGTTTTCGAGAAATAGTGCCGGAAGTGTCAGTGGCTATCAATTCGTGCTGCGCAATATACATTTTTGGCTTCTAGTTTTTGAATTAGGCTTTGTGAGTCGGATTTTTCCACTGATTCGTGTAGAGTAATTCTTCTTTTAACGGGATTGGATATTTTTTTTCGGATTCAAGTGTGCGTTTTCGAGAAATAGTGCCGGAAGTGTCAGTGGCTATCAATTCGTGCTGCGCAATATACATTTTCGGCTTCTAGTTTTTGAATTAGGCTTTGTGAATCGGATTTTTCCACTGATTCGTGTAGAGTAATTCTTCTTTTAACGGGATTGGATATTTTTTTTCGGATTCGAGTGAGCATTTTCGTGAAATAGTGCCGGAAGTGGCAGTAGCTGTCAGATCGTGCTGCGCAATTTAATTTTTTGGCTTCTAGTTTTTGAATTAGCCTCTTTGAATCGGATTTTTCCACTCATTCGCGTAGAGTGATTCTTTCCTTAACGGGGTTATATATTTCTTTTCGGATTCGAGCTTGAATTTTCGAGAAATAGTGTCGGAAGTGTCAGTAGCCGTGAAATCTTGCAACGCAATAGACTTTTTTGGCTTCTATTTCCGAAATTTGGCTTTTTGATTAGTTTTTTTCTATATATTTGTGTAGAGTGGAATTTTCTCTAACGGGATTGGATATTCTTTTTCAGTTTCGAGCGTGCGTTTTCGAAAAATAGTTCCGAATGTGTCAGTGGCCGTGAAATCGTGCTGCGCAATAGATTCTTTTGGCTTCTATTTCCGAAATTAGGCTTTTTGATTAGTTTCTTTCTATATATTAGTGTAGAGTGGAATTTTTTCTAACGGGATTGAATACTTTTTTTCAGTTCGTTTCAGATTACATTCCTGTGGTCGCGGTTTAATTGCTATGGCTAATGCTGGAGAAGATGACAATGGTCCCCAATTCTTCTTTACTCTTAGGCCTACACCAGATGTGCAGAATATAATACAATCTTTGATAAAGTTACTGGAAAAACTATATATAACATACTTACACTTGAAGAAGCACTTGTTGATGAGGTAAATTTAATGTTTACAAAATAATATATCAAGAATTAATATAAATATAATATTTTCTCCTTTTTGTAGAATGATAGAGCAGTTTATCATCCGAGATTGATAAAAATTATGATATTAAACAATCCATTTTCTGATATTACACCAAGGATAATAGTACAGGAAAGTGAAGAAGTAAAGAATTGTTCAAAAACTAAAACAGCAGCAGTAATGTAAAAATCCTATATGTTTGCAGAATTTAACCCTGATAGTATTATTCTTTACAATGAAAAATTTTGTTACAGAGATGTCAATCTTTTTAATCATTTAGTGAAGAAGCAGAGGAAGACGAAGAAGAATCTGCGATATTAAATAAAAAGTTTAATGGTAAGAGCAAATCAGGTTATGATCATTTCTCTGATCCAATATTATGCTCATAACCAGCTGGACCTCCAAATTAAAAAAGGAAACAAGACCGTATTAGCGATTGGGAATTATTGGAGAATAATTGGAAAATTAACAAATTATGCAATTTCTGAGATTAATTTATGAACTTTTATAACTGTATCGCATAGCCGACTCCTTGCGCAGCATTCTTACACAATTTTTGCACATAATTTGGCGCTAATTAGTTTGTTATTATTACTTACTTGACGACGTACGTGATTCGATAACAACGATCAGCGCGATGGTCCAACAGAATAATCAATTATGAACAAAATTAGAAGTAAAATAAGAACAAAAATGATATGAGAATGTTCGTAAGGGTATTGTTTTTATAATATGTGCATATAATTTGTAAATTAATTGCATAGAAGATTGTAATTAATGAAAAACTAATAGTATTATCAGCATCAATTCGAACATTTAGAGTAATAATTACACATATACTATTATACGTAAATTATAATACTTATCGTTAGTAACAAATTATTAATGTTAATAACAAATTGTTCACAACGTAAATTTACAATAAAAGTGAAAACATTAAGGAATTACTGGCTATTACTTGAACTTGGAACGAATTTGTGTCAAAATGTAACTATAATTTGAAAAAGTTTATAAATTATTACACTGATTGTTTATAACAAATTAATATTGTTAATAACAAATTGCTCGCAACGTATATTTATAATAAAAGTGAAAAAATTAATAAATTATTGCCTACTACTTAACAAACGACGTATTTGTGTTAGAATATATTCGAAACTTACAAGAAGTTAATAAATTAATAAATTTATTGTTAATAACAAATTAAAATCATTGATAACAAATAGTTTGCAAAGTATATTAACGATAAAAGTCAAGAAAATTAATAAATTATTAGTTATTACAGCGGAAAAGTAACTTTTAAAGGAATCGGTAAAGTTCGGAAATTTTCGCCGATCTTCGGTCGGCCGCCGCTATATAAGGGGCCCGCGTGCAGGCTCGAGCCAGTTGTCGCTTCGACTTCGGAGGGTCCGCGTTAATATTTTTCTTTCAGGTACTAATTATTTTTTGTTTCAGCTTTTAATTATCTTTCTTCTTTCAGATTCTATTTCTTTTATTCTAGATTTCATTGTTTGTGCATTCGAATATTTTGTACAATATTCGAATGCTTCGTCGTTGGTTTATTTGTATATCATCGTTGGCTTGATCAATGGCTATTCAATGGCCATTGTCTACTCTCTTGAATAATTTAATAATAATTCCTTCTTTCAGGTACTAATTATTTTTTCTTTCAGGTTTTAATTATCTTTCTTCTTTCAGATATTATTTCTTTCATTCTAGTTTTCATTGTTTGTGCATTCGAGTATTTCGTACAATATTCGAATGCTTCGTCGTTGGTTTATTTGTATTGTATATCATCGTTGGCTAGATCAATGGCTATTCAGTGGCCATTGTCCACTCTCTTAAATAATTTAACAATAATTTCTTCTTGCAGATTTTATTTTTTTCATTCTATGTGTCTTTGTTTCAGCATTCGAGTATTTCGTATAATATTCGAATGCTTCGTCGTTGGTTTACTTATGTCTCATCGTTGGCTAAATCTTTCCTTTCACAAATTTTACGACTTCCGTTCGATTTGTTTTCGTTAGAGCGTTCGAGTATTTCGTATAATACTCGAGCGCTTCCTCGTTGGTATGTTTATATCTCACCGTTGGAATGTTTCTGTCTCGTAGTTATGTTGCTCAGGTCTCGTCGTTGGCTTGCTCGTTCCATTTGGTTATTATCCTTGATGGTTTCCTCGTACTAATCCCTTTCCTTTCAGCTACATATTAACAATAATATATTCTGTTTTAGCTTTTAGGTTTCTCAATATTCTGTTTGCGACACATCAATGAACGATGCGTGCGTTTACTTTTAAGTAATCATAAGATAGATCCATAGACTAAGTATCATGTGCGCGCTATCTGTACAAAGGTAAGCTACCTAACTTGGAGCGAAATTTATAAATTCTCTATCATTTTCTTATCCCCCTCGTTTAGCAAATAGAACATAATTGTTCTCGCGATAATCGCGATCGTTCGTAAGTACCGACTAGCCTACGCGACGTGCTCTCGTGTACTCGATAAGTACATGCTTCGTAAGTCATCCTCACGACTCGTCTCCGACACTCATTTCCAGTCACTGTCAATCTCGTCATGCATCGGGTTCCAGGGTGACCCCCTCGGATCAGTGCGTCTTCTGACCTCGACGGGGCGGTCCGCTGCCTAAGTCGTACGCGACTGGGGCTCGGGCACATGCTGGCTGACGGACTAGTACCATCTACGGTTAGACCACAGGGATGATTAAGTTCTACCCCGTGTGGCTGGGATGCGAAGTGTCTGTCTTGGCCGGCAACCGCCCAGCAGGGCCCTCGCGTTGACACTAGAAGTTTCATTGGTTCAGGGACTATCCTTGGTCCACGTGTAAGTCTTGGCGAGTGCGACAGTGACTGGAATTGAGCTAGGCCCGATCGGGAGGGTGCCGAGGTATGAAGTTATCTCTGTACACGGGAGTACATCGCCTAGGCTAGTCGGTCTTTCGAATAATCGCGATTTCGTTCGAACGCGTCGCGATTTTCTATTTGCTCGCGTGTTTGATATTTCATTCCCTATTTTTATGGGTACTTGAAAATATCTTAGCGTTGCGACAGTAGAGTTTCAGTATACCGAACCGAAACCCCTTTTGTAAGGCACGAAATATAATAAAGTGTCAGTAGAGTCATTTTAACTTAATTCGCTCCAAGTTAGATTAGGGTACCTTTGATACAGGTAGCACCAGCAGGCTGCGCCACTAGGGCGCATGTCAGGTCTCGATGCGTAGCCACCTCCTCGTGGTGAGACCTGGTAATTGGTATCGTTTTCCAAAGATTTTTCTTTGGAAAACGATACCAAGCTAAGAGCTACGCTCCAAGTTATTTCTTGTATTTCTTTTGACTTTTAAAACAACAATAAATCTTCTAATATTCTTACTTTTTATGTACTTTTATGTATTTATACATCTTTAGAAAAGGGTTAGTACATATTATTAGATATTTTAATTTAAGATCTCAGATGAATAAAGATTTATTATACAATATTATTCAGAAGAAAAGATTTCGCGTAGAAAAGTTTTCTTTCGTCAGTTTATCAAACTGTTCGATCACGCTATCAGACATTTCTTCTTTCCACTGATCGACCTTACCACTTCGAATAAATTCTCCGTCGGCACTGATAGATTTCATTTGTTTGTTCATTTTGATGTGGTCCTCGTAGTTCACTGCCGGATTTGATTTCATACTGGCAAAACTCAAGTGCTGCGTTAAGGCTTTCATTTGATCGTCAGTCATGGTTTTGTTAAAGAATGCGGTCGATTTCTTTATCACCGCGGACAAATCCTGAATTTTACAAAATAAATATTCGTATCCACGGAATGAAGTGAAAATATTTTAGTTACTTACAGATTTCATTTCTTCGTATCTCAGAAATAAAATATTAGGATCAGCCTTTCTATTCCAGAAATCAAGAATGTGATCCCAGTACGGAGTAAAGCTCACTACGAGGACAGTAATTATACCATAAAATTGATATTTACACGATTTTATCACGAGTATACGTACATTTATTTCCTAAGAAAAGACGAGAGAAGTTGTGAAAATCACCACGATATCCTTCCATTAATCTGCAATGATAGTAATAAGATACACAGGTATCTTTGGGGTTCCTGGCGACATAAATAATTTTCGGACGCTTTTCGCCTGTTCGAAGCTGGCGAGGAAGTAAAGCAAAAGGCAAATGGGTCTTGATAAATCTTGGACTAAGTTGATTTTTCGTATAAGCCACGCTATCTAAAACCAACTGAGGGAGCTCGATCTCCGGATGTAGTGGTATAATATCGGTGTAATCAAAAAGTACAGAGTACCTGGACAAACGCGTAAGTTCAATTTTAAGATTTCTAGAAAATATCAAATATCTCTCTTAACTTACTCTAAAAAGGGAAATCTTTCGGCTAAGCGAACTTTCGCTCCCTCGAAGTCCAGATCATTTGCAATGCACCAAATCATTTCCTGCGTCCACGTTGTTCCTGATTATATCGTTCAAATAAATACGTAACACTTGATGTCACTTTACATTTTAATAAAATTGATAAATATTATACCGGTTTTAGGGAAACTGCAAATCCAGACATCGTCCTCCCTGACTTCGAAATTTTCAATCTCTCGCGAGAATTCTTCGTACCTGATTGGCAAACAAACACCTTGCACCGTTGTGTATCCTTTACGAAATTCATTCGTAAATTTTTCCCTCAGAATCTGATCCAAGTCACTGCTGGTTTCATTTCCGGCCATGATTCCTAAATGTTGGATCCAAGAACTGAGTTAAATTCTATAAAACTAAATCACGTAGGCTTACACTCGATTTGTATCGTGTGTCGAAGAAGGTGAACAGAATATATCGAGACTGACAGTGTTAATTGTTGAACATAAGATGAAAGAATTGTCGACATATTTATTCTACTACTGTGTTAAAAGTATCGACTTCAGGGCCATCAAAAGTGGTACCAGGCGGAGCGAATCGAGTACTCCTCGCACCTGTACCGTCTGAAGTGCCAACTTACCAATTAAATACAATAACTCCACGAATATACGTGATCGAATGAGATACGTTCTCAGTTTCAAAAGGAAAACGACTACCTCGAAATCCGCGAATGTTCTTATATAGAGCGACTAGTAATTGGGAAAAACAAGCTACAGTAATATTGTTGGTAGGTTTTTGTTTCGGCATTACTTTACTAGAACAAGGTTACTGCCTTAAACAGCTTTTTTCTTTCAGCTGATCATTTTTCTCGAGCATTCATTTGTTCTTCGACGTGAAATGCTGGCAATTTTACTACCGTTGCATTGTAAAATATTGTTATTTACGGTGTATCCGAATATCATCAAAATCGGCGAAAAATCAGCACATTCGCAAGTTCGCCAAATATTTAACTAAACAAATCGTATGAAAGTAATTCGTCTAGAATGAAAAGAATTTCCTAATGATATTTCATTCTTTTATATAGTTTCGACTTAGCATCCAAGGACAATGAATGGATGATAAAAAATAGAATGTGTACGGAGAAATCAGTCGCGTTGCACACTGGATTTTACATAAAAAGTAACAGCTTCTGATGTTTTTCTAAGTCGGACACAGTACGTGTAAAATACAAGGCTAAAATAACGAAGAAACTATTGCTATATAGATTTATTTTATTTTTATTAACGAAATGAGTATAATCGACATACAAAAAGGTAAAATATTGAAGGTAAAAATCCAAGAAACTATATTATCTAAGTCTTACGAGTAGCAAAGGATTGTGTACTGTGATTCAGGTACTAATAACTACTTTCATCGTCTTAAAGCATTTCAATTTTCCACGGACAAGCGTCGCATTTTCAAGCGAACGCTCCCCCCATGCAGCGTTTTCGTTTCCAAAACATTTTACCAGTAAAATGTGAAATTTCAATGCCGTAAAATTCGCTCTCGTTTTACGTCAAAAATGAAAATTATTTTTTCGATACTATCATATTAGATTTAACATATGTCCACCGTTATCTAAATACACATTTAATAAGAAAATACCTTGGCAAGACAAAGTTTCTTAAATTCAATGTTAAACATCGCAGATTCCAGGCACAAATCCGTAGAACAACACGTTATGATATCTTAATTCTTAAATGTATAACAGAAATTCCTCAATCGTCTAAATTACTACGTTACCGTTTTACACACAAACATAAAGGTATGTCATAAACTTATGTTCATGTACAAACTAAAAATCATTAATTTTCCAAATAGGTTCTCGAGTACAAAATAAACATTAATACGATATTGTTATGTATTATGCAACATTATAAGGAAATGTAAGATCCGAAAAGAAGATTTTGAAAAGAAAAATCTTGAACGATCCCTTCAGTCTGAAAGGCGAAATAATTTGTACGTTCCTCTATTGTCTGTTCGATCATCAGACAACTAATTGACATATAATCTAAGCACACGCAAACATTTCTTTAACATTACATATTGGATATAACGCTAACACTTTGAGATAAATTTACTTGGCCCCTCAGTACCTTCTGCTGTAATTTCTTACAAAAGATTTTGGCCATTAGCTTGTTACGTCGCGACTCTTCTTGCTTCTCCTGTTGTCGTCGTTTTTGTCGCATTTCGTTCAGTCGTAGATATCGTTTTCGTAGTCTCTCCCTCATTTCTTCGTCGCTAACTTTTCTCTGCGTGTAAACTGCAAATAATTGTTAGAAATATAATAAAACTATTTTAAAAAATGAGATAATTTTAGTTTTAATTTTAACTATGAAATTCTCACCTGTTGGTTTAGAAGAAGCTTTTGGCGATTTTATAACATTCGACGTACTAGCCATTGCCAACAGCTGTATTCGTTTTTCTTTTCGCAATTGTCGCAGATGAGATATTTCCGACATGTATTGCCGACGCGTCTCTGCATTACTTACGAAGTCAGCTTTATTCTTAGACAAATAATCCTAAAATCGTTGAGATGATAATTAATTACCACTATTGCTGGTTAATTATATTGTCAAATATTACTTACTTGTAAAGTACTTTTTTGAATAGAATTCTTTTTCAAACTAACTTTTTTAATCATGTTGCAAACACAGCCATTCGTTTTACCTTCGTTAATAGTACGATTTGATAATGGCACTTTTAAAAACGCACCCAGATTATCGTTTCTCTGAGCATCCTCCTTCGCGAATGATAATTCGTACGCGATAGCTTTCGGGTACGTTTGATAACAACTACATTTCTTCACGCTTTGATAAGGAATACCGCAATGTCGACAGTATTTACAATTTCTATCAGAATCACTGGTTTGGTTTGCCTCGTCCACGTAATTTGGTTTGCCGCTGTTGCAGGCTCTGCCGTGTAATACTTCCTCCTCGTTTTTCCCTCTGCTATTACAATAACTATCTTTTTCGCAATCGCATTTTAAGTTCGCATTTTGTACTTTGTACTGTGCAGTTTCGTTAGCTTGTCCATTAGTCACGCAGTAAGGCCTCGGCTGAGTCGAACGATCTTCCGCTTCCGTGCGGGTGTAACGAGCCTCGTTGTATTGAGTTTTCCCATTTGCATGGCAACTGCAGAATCCTTTTGCGTTCTGAACTTCCGGTTCGCGACTGTTCTCGCAGAAACAATCGTTCGGACATCCGCACAACTTGGTGCAGCCATTTTGATTCAAGCTCGATACGTATCCGTTACTATTCTGATAATACTTTGAACTATATTTCATTGGTGCCCGTCCTTTCTTCGACTGATCGTTATCGCATTCGCACACCGTCGTGCAGTTACATTCTTTCAATTTTTCCTCCCCTCTATCGCGTGTTTGGAACGTCTTCTGGCATTCCTCGCATTTAGAGACGCTGTTGCTCTCTACCGCCGTTACCGACGAAGTGCACGATTGACATCCTTTCACCGATGTCTTCTTATTTTCACACTTGCAATCGTTAGTGCATCGACAAACGTAGCTACCTTTGCAATCGCAGAACTTCGATTTCGATGCGTTTATTTGATTCTTTGCTTCTTTTTGCTTCAGCGAACTGGTTTGGACTTCCTTGTTCGCGCAATGATGGATCACTTCGGACGAGATGATACTGTTCATCTGATCCGAAGGTGATCGCGAGTCAACCGAGCTCTCCTCCCGAAAGTTCTCTATATTCGTGTGCACCTTCTGAACGTTGTTCGACTGATCCTTCTGTTCTTGTGCACACTGCATGCAAGTGGTAACTAGATTCTGAATGGCATGGTACTTCAAGCACTGACTGGCTTGCTCGTTGCATTTGTAGCCATTTTGAACTTGCATAGCATTATGCGTTGGACACTTGACATAATGTACGATCTCTGACTGTATCAAAGCTGGGATCGTATACGTTTCCTGAGGGATGGTTTGCACCCCGGTGCTGACTAACTTGCTGCTGGAATTACGCAAGTTCGAGGCAGAGACGATTTCACCGCCAGTCTTCGAAAGAGCACCAGTGATGTTCGTTGCCGTTTGTGCGCAGCTATTTCTCTTTTTAATACGTTGAACGATGCTATTAGATCTGCTGGAAACTTGACACGTTGCCAAGTTACAGTGGGACGACCATGGCTCCTCTATTGAATTCATTTGCGCCTCTGATTCATTCCTCTGCAAATAATCATTGTTACACAGCTCATGTACCCGAGACAACGGTCCCATGGGTTTCCGTTTGAAGTTTCCTGGTCTCGACTTTTTTGGAGACGTTCGCGGTCTTTCTGGTCTTCGTGGTTCTTCCAACAGCTTCTTTAAATTGCGCAGGTGACTGATTTCGTTTGTAATCCAAATCAATTGATTTCTTTTCTCCATTTCTGCGTAACTGACCAGTTTCGAGTCTGCAGAGACGGAACTGCCATTCTTTTTTAACTCGAACTGCCTCTCGGAAAACGTTGTAAGCATCCTCCAATCGTCGTGCTCCTCTGTATTGCTGGAACGAATAACTCCCCTTCTGTTATTAACAACTGCATCCAGCAACATTCGATTGTGATCGGGTGGTGTGCTGTTTGTCGTTGTCGTCATCGTTGTCGTCGTCGTAGTTGTCGTCATCGTCGAGTCTCTCTGTGAGATCTTACACCTCTCTTTCACGCAAAATATGTCTTGTACTTTGTTACCTTTGCGGTTTCTTTGAGGAAAGAAACATTCGGAGCTGCCGCTTTTGTCAGGGTCCGTTATGGTGTTACTGCTCCGATGGCAATCGTCCGATCTAAGGCCCAATCTCGCTTTTCGTCCGTCAGTTTCCGTCCTGTCCGTATTTTTATCTATTTTATCGCTACTGCTTTCCAATGCAATGTCCTTCATAATGTCTCTTCCATTTCTTACGCATTTGCCTTGTATCTCCTTCTGCGAATTCCATTCGCGGGAAGAATCGCTGGTGTTACGCTGTTTCGACAACGCCTGAAGTATTTCCCTACCGTAAACATTGCTCCTAGCATCATCCGGATTCCATGGAACGTTGTCCTCTAAATTATGCTCGATTTTATCATCCGTGTATTTAGCAGTGATTAGTCTCTTTACTACGTGATGTATCAGTCTTTTCTTAACTTCCTTGTCGCATTTATTCGCATCGACAAGGCTTTTCAAAATATTTACGCTTCGTTCTAGATCCCTCACCAAGCTGTCCGAATCCCCCCATAATTTCTCGTTAATACTGGAGCTGGTATTAGGTAGAGTAGAATGGGATCTCGCGGTCTCCGAAGACGAGATATGGCTACCGCTTCCACAAGGAACGTTCTCGTATACATGACCAGGGAAATACTCAAAACTGTTTGCTCTTCCAGTTATATTTTCTGTATCGTCTGGCTGAGACGTTTGCCTGACGGATCCATTTTGCGATAATTGAGAATAATTGTGTCGCGGTTTCGTCTCCTTCCTACATTCGCACGCTCCAACGTCTCGCGTGTCATTGGTTTCCTGCTTCCTCGAATTTTGAACTTTATACGTTCCCTTTGGATTCTTTAACGTTAATGTCGAACCCCTTTGCAAACTAGTTCCTCTCTTTGGTAACGGCGGCTTCTCTTCCTCGAGAACCGAGACTTGCACGCCAACGGATTCTTGAGTATAAGCGTATAGACTCGTCTGTATAACTTTATCACAAGTGGAAGGTTTATTTACAATAGTGGCAATCGAGGACGAAGAGTTAAAAATTAGTGGCAATGCGGCTCTGCTCTTGTCTCTGGTATACAAATTCAACTCGCTCTGACTTCTCTTTAACGTTAATTTAGAGTGCGGTATAAATAACGTATTCATTGATGTGCTTTTTTTCAAAGGCGATGTAGGTGGGCATATATTTTCTTTATTCGTATTTTGCTTGCTCGATACTTTCTTTATCTCGGTCGATGGTTTTGCGAAAGGTACCTTAGTCGTGAACGTCGATTTTGGAGTATCGTTATTGTACTCTTTCTTCGAATACTGCATGAAAGTATCTTGTTGCTTAAAATCCCTAGGAAGAGATCTTTCAGCAGACTTTATACCGCTTCCTGCTATTATACCCGGTAAGTGATTTTTCACAATCGGGGTAATTTCAATTTCGCTTTCAGATCCTGAAGCATTTCCCAATAATGCAGTGGAATTAGCATCGGGAGTTATAGAAGTAGCTGCATTTTTCTGAACTCCCACAAGTTTTCCAGAAATTCCCGACTCTGTGGTACCTTCAGGATCCAATCTTAAAGCAACGGAACAACCTCTAGCCAAAGCCATACGTTCTATTGTACTTAACTTTTTATCATTTTGTTTACTATTCGGTGTTGTATTAAAGTAACCAACATCTGCTCCACTATCCCATTCAAGTGGTTTGTGAGAAGCGATACTAGAGGTTGGAGATGATATTTTCCTCTCTACAGATTCTGTTAGTATTTCTTGACTTTCATTTTTCTCTTCTAAAATAGTCTCTGGTGTAACGTGTTTTAAATCAGGTGATGGAGATTCAGGATTTGACAATGGTTGGACATATCTAGACGATGATGAGTCTGTATTCGAGGACTGGCCGATAAGAGGTGGTCTCACCCATCTTCTTCTTTCTCTAGGCACATAAGATCGTAAATTATATTCTTCTCCTATACAATCTTGTCTGTTAGCCTCTACTTTAGGGTTTACTTCATATATACTATAATAACATTTAATTGCTTCTGGTGATGTACTGCTGGTTGGTAATGAAAAATATTGATCCAAATTTGTATTTTGAGAATACTTGTGGTAATATTCCATCACCTGAGAAGAAAGACTTTTGTTTGTTGTTCCCGGTTTGAGCTTTGGTTGCGGTGCCACAACTTGCAGAGATTGCCATGGTGTAGAATTTGTAGTACAGGTTGCACGTTCAAGTTTTTGTATTTCTCTTAAACGTGGGAGATCTTCTGAAGCTTCAAAATCTCGCAGACGACCTTCACAGTTCGATGCAGAGTCATACTCCATAATCACGAACTATACGTGCCTTGTCATCTTTCATTCAGCACTTAATGCACTGTCAAATTTTAACAGTGAACTGTCCCCTCAATGGAAGTTGTTCATACACATTTAGAAAATTAGCCATGCTTTTTTAATTAAGACAGCACAACTTGTCTAGAGTATGATGCAAAATCGAGGTTAGGACGCTATTGTAAACGAACTCGATTGTAAGACCGACCTAGTCCTTTTAATGTAAAAAATTTTTTAATATAGAATTAAAGAATTATATTGCGTCAGAAAAGATTATGATATTCGTCACACTATATTTACTATATGTGATATTTCAATAATAATACAGTTTTATAACAAAAACTTCGATTATTGTTTACATTTCCCTGAAAACTCAACCGTAAATTAGCGGTAATATTCTGCACTATACTCCCGCTAGATGGTACACCTTGCTTTCATTGCTAATGTATTATTCGTCCAGGATGCACCAATTGCAGTGCACGTTATATTACGATGTATACATGTATATACACAAAGAGTCCCAGTAAAGTTAGGTTTCTCTTTTAATCTGGAACCACGAGGAGGGATTTAGAATCTTTAACGTGCTTGTACCGTATAACCTTATAGTACAAATGCGTCAACTGAGAAGACACAAAACTCCCGTTAGGAGAATACGAAAAATATGCAGAAGTGTCGAATTTGCGGTAGTACAGATTTTTATAAAGAAGCTGGCTACTTTTTCTGTCAAACATGTCAAACGCAGAATGAGGTACTGCAATTTAATTTCTTTCTTCTCGAAAAGAAACAACAGTTAATTATTTTATTCCATACAGGATATCAGAGAAGAAGTTCTTGAGTTACGTGTAGATAATACCACTAGATTACGAAAAACAAGAATTAGGCAATTAAGATTAGACAAATCAGGTTTGGTTTAATATTTTAAATATTACACTAAAAATTTATAACTTTTTTATGTATTTGATATATGCTATGATTTTTGTTTCAATTGTCAGGTGAAGAACTTGGTTGGACTTCATGGGAATTATACAATTTTGTTTTAATTGGTTTAACAAATGAATTAATAGAACTTGGAGTTCCACCTAAAATAAAATTAACAATTTTACAATTATGGGCAACATATTTAGGTAAAATTGAAGTAGCATTTATCTCAACTAAGAAAAGATATGTACCAAAGTTGGCTAGAAGATATAAAAAGAGGTATATTTAAATGATATGTTTGATTAATAGTATATGAAATTAAATTCAAATAAATCAATGTGTATTATAACAGGGATGCAGAAATTATTTATGGCAAAGTACAATCACAGAAAAAATCTAGAAAACGCAAAAGAACTGGTAGTAGCACAAATACTTCTGTTATATCGGCTAATCAAAGTGAGGGTAGTTCAATGAGACAAATAAATAAAAATAAAGTAATTCTTATAAAACTTGAATTACTTACTTAAATAAAAGTTAACTTGTATCCAGTACTTTATGCGAATTAATTTTTTTTTAGAAACTTTTAGCAGCAGCAGATTATGATAGATATCTTCAATCCCAAGATAGTTCTGCTGATGGCAGAAGTAGTTCATTTAGCCAAAGCATATATAGTATTCAATCTAGCTCTGTAGCATCTTCAGCAAATGAGGGAAAGTAAGCATTAACCATCCTCAAACTAAAATTTAAACTTTATTAAAAAGTTTCTTATATTTTTAAATCTGTTTAGGGTACAATTCAGTTCCCATGCCAAAGAAGAGGCAAGAAAAATTAAAAGATTGTCTAAAAATCTACCAAGATCCGAAAGAGTCAAGTACAGAGCTAAGCATATAAGTACTCAATACAAAATGGGACCTCATATAATTACACCTATGCGGTTATGGGCAATTATATATCTAGCTTTACGGATTCATAATCATCCTATACAATTAGGAGATATGTTAAGGCATGTAACAGATGTGTGTTTGTTTTTTTATTATTTTCTTTAACAAAACATTACAATTTCACTCATGAAAGTATCCCTTTTTAGATATGGAAAAGAAGGGCATTTATCTTATTACAAATTAGACCACTTATTGCCACCAGAAGTAGATTTAACAGCAAATGAAAGAAACTTTTTAAGACAAAATGTTGAAATTACACATAAAGGAATGAGACGAATATCTGCAAGTATGGCAAAATTTCTTGGTGTGTGGAACATATTTTGCCCAGATTTGTTATCATTGATTAGCAGATATTGCCAAGAACTAGGATTACCAAGTATGTAACTTGTCAAATTATCCATCTATGATTATGTTTATTTACATTTTCGATTCTTATATTTATTTTTTCGGTTTGTTTGTTTACAGTATACATTTATTTATTTATCCTTATTAATTGTATATACACAACAAAATATATGTATTATATACTTATTAATTTTTAGGGGGCATTCTATTATATACAGAGAGATTAATAGCTTTATCACCTCCTAATATGATATTTGATATAAAAAAATCATATATTCCAAACTACGAAGGTCGTGCAATCGCATTTATTATAATAGTCTTGAAAATTTTACTTGCTCTAGATGGTATAACTGAGTATCATATCAGTAGAATTGCAGAAAAGATCAATAGGTATGTTGAAAAGAATGAATATCTATTATATGTTTTGTTTTATGTTTTGAACCTCAAAATTTACAAATGTATAGCATTTCTACTATAAGTGACAAATATTTTATCTAAAACAAAAATGCAGTGCAGAGATATTACATTTCGTAATAGTATATCAAATAAAGTACATAATCTGATTGGAGGTGGAGAATGTAAATGTTATGAAAACAGTTTACCATGTATAATTGTACACGGTGGTGCGGGAAATTTTAACGATTCTATAGTTATAGAAAAGATGACAGCTTGTAAAAAAGCTGCTATTAATGGTTATAAAAAATTAATACATGGTGAAACTTCAGTAAATGCTGTAGAAGCTGCACTATGGTGGTTAGAGTGTGATGAATTTTTTAATTGTGGTTACGGATCTGTATTAAACGAAATAGGTACTTTGTACATATATTTATACATTCTTACGTATGAACGAGTGTGCGTGCGCGTTTGTCCGCCGCGTGTATATATTTTTATAGCAAGTGGATACAATGAAAATTAATCAAGATGTATTTTTGTTTTGTATGTCATTATTCCAAACATAGGAAAAGTTCAAATGGATGCAAGTATAATGGATGGTTTTACATTTAAATGTGGATCAGTAGCAGCAGTTTCAGACATAGAACATCCTATAACGCTTGCAAAATATGTTATGAATAATTTTCCAAACTCTATATTTGTGGGTGAAGGAGCTAAAAATTTAGCAAAATATGCAAACTTAGATTGGTTATCAGAGGGAAATATGGTAGCACCAACTGCACGTATAGCTTTCAATTCAGAAGAAAAAGGAAAATCCGAAATTAATATTGATAATCAAAGTTTATTGGATATCTATGCGTTAACGAGTAAATTAATTCTAAATTTCATTAAAAGTTTTACAAATTTTTAAATTTTCATTGAAAAAAGTACATTCTTATTTATTCATGAAATGTTTATTTATAGATAGTTTTGGTACTGTTGGTTGTGTAGCATATGATGGATATAGTATAGCTGCTGGAACTACGACAGGTGGTTTAAATAAAAAGTTGGTAGGAAGAGTAGGAGATACTCCTATACTGGGTTGTGGTACCTATGCTATTAGAAATGTAGGTTGCTCTTTAACAGGACATGGAGAATCTATAATGGAACTGGGATTAGCGCGTGCAATAGTAGAAGACATTGAACGTAATGTTTCTAGCGCAGAAGCTTTGCATAAACATTTTTCATATATGTTAAAGAAATTTGAAAAAGTCGGTGGTGGGATTACGCTTCAATCAGATGGTCGTTGGGCAACATATTTCACTTCCGATAAAATGCCATATGCTGTAATCGAAAACGATTTAATTACATACGGAGCAAGATTATGCGAAGAAAAGAGAGAAATGTATAAAACTGATAACAAAAATTGCGAATGCAAATGTCCTGTCTTAATTGTACCTATAATATGTTATGCGCTATGATTTATGTATTAACATTAATATTTTTCAATTGTTTTATTAATATAAATATTCCTTTTTTTTTATTTCAGCGTAGCTATTGAACGCGGTTTACTAAATGAAAAACTTTTTAATTTTCAAGAATGGCAAAGGTATATCGAGTGCAGGAAAACAATCTTAGTGCACGCACATTATCCAACGAAAATGAAATACGCTCCGAATTCGGACGAAGTTGATGATTTATATTTAAAATTTGTAGAATTTATATCCTCTAAATCGGATAGAAGGGAATCAGACATAAAAAATTCTAAACACCTTTTACCAGAAGAACTTATCAATGCCATGGCAAAGCATATAACTGAGTTAATATCCGATGATCTATCGTCAAGGACGATAGACATATTTCCTCCATCTTTAACGCCGCTTTACTCATATTTGCAGCATTTATTCGATCATCCGTATTACGATATTCCTAGTATATTACGAAATGATTTTTATCTTACGAAAGTTGGATACATGACAAAACCTGATTCGTAAGTACTTTGAAACTACTAATTAGAAGTATTCTAATTGTATCTAATTGAAATATATTAATATCATTTTTAGTTTAATAGAGCTAGCAATGAAGTGCGACATGCAGTTAGAAATAATAGATTCCAATGTACATTTTCTCGAGAAAAATGTACCTCTATTTGAACAGCCTAGAATGCCAAGTATGAATGAACTAAAACAGCTCGTCGATGTGCAAGATGACTTAGAAAATCAACAAGCAAGTGAAAGTATAAATGATTATTTGCACGCTAAAATACCATGTACTATTAAATTTAATGCCGTTAAAAACCAATATTACAATAGCATTGAAAGTACACCAAAGAGCTTAGAAAATATCGATATGGGAAATGATTTTACATTTACTGAAACTCTACCAAACGGGAAGTTAGCGATTCCAACTGATAGCGATGATGAAAATGAAGAAGAAGACTCTGATTTTATCAATAACTTGGATCAGGAAAAAATTATTCTAGGAAACAAATTCTGTGATAAATACAACTTACGTTTATCGTTGACAGAAAAAAAATCGATTTATACATCAAATGTAATACGCTCTAAAAAACTTAAAGCACAACTCGAGCGAAATACTAAAGGTGAATTTGTTAAAAAAAGTGCTTTACTTACAAATATTGAAAAAAATAGCGATGATGTTTTTGCTGTCAAAGAAAATGTAAGCTTTTATGATAGCCCCGAAACAAACGAAGTATGCATCGATGTTGAAACCATCGCAAAAGAACAATTATTTTTGAATGAAAATATTGACCTCGATGGCATTGATATTGACGATATATATATGAAAAATGATTTTTTTAATATCAGTGACTATTTTAATTTCAGCGACATTTCAATTTTTAGTAAAATTAATGACGTTTCTACATCTGCAGAAAGTAAAAAGAATAACGTAGATAACAAGAAATATCGATTTTTTAGACCCTTTAACGAGTATTGGACATATCATTGCATTTTTAGTCGTGTAAAATCAAAAAATTTTGTTACATTTGAAAAAGAATTACCACGAACTTTCCGTTGGTTGTTGAACGAATGCGCACTCATGGTGGAAATGTCTAGAGAGGATTTATACGAAGAAATATGTTTAATTGAAAATTATCATTCGCAGGTTTTGAAATCTTGCAATCCTGAAAACAACGTTCGCAGCAACGTAAATACAACAACCAAAAATCAATTAAACTTTATTTTAAGTAAATGGTAAAAAATGTTGCAATACATGAGAGCTTAGATTTTTATATAAATAATGTAATTATAACGATTTATATTGAAACAATATATCAATACTTCGAATTAAAGATACTTAACATTTCATAAATCGTCCCCAAAATCCTTTCGTAATAGACTCGTGCATCATAATATTTGTTTTTTATTTTATTTTCTATTTTTTCTAATATGAACTTCTTCACGAATTTTTAAAAATATCTCGACTTCTGTTTATCGACCGCGTCGAGGCGCGTAGAATCGCGTTAATAATCGGAGTCGACATTGTGGGGCGCCCCGGTCAAGCAACTGTTGCACTCGTCGAGAGACTCGTTGGTTCCCGGTGTGTTCCTCGTCCCGAGCCGACGGCTCGAGGGACGACGGAGCGTTTCAGTAGTAAACACCAGTTGGCGTAAGACAGTGTCGGATGGCTGTCATCGTTCTGCGGTCGCTACCACGATACGTGGTGTGTGTACAATCAGGCGGTGGTGTGTGTACGCTGGCCGCGTGTGTATCCATGTCCATTTCTTAAGGAACTTGCACGAGTATTCGTGCATGCGACGTGCGTGCGTGCATACGAAAGCCTATTTGCCCTCGTGCTTTAGAGTGGTCGTGACGACGCGTTGTTACTCGTGGCATTGCCCACTACGTTTATCGAAAGTGCACACCGTTATTACTTTTACGTATTCAACTCGACGTTGCACCTGCTCTCTTTGGTCCTGGTGTCGTTCACCGAGGCGTCTGGTTGCCCGACCGTCCAACTTCCTGTCTGTCGTAAGTGAACACCAAATATTCTAATATGCAAACGAAAAACGCGACAGCATAAAAATAGGGGTGATTCGTAGTTCGAAGTACCAATTCCTCTCCTCGACGTTATCGTACACGTAATGCGTATAATGCTCCGAAACGAGAGATGTTCGATCAGTTCCATTGCTACGTATTATATACATCGATCTTCTCGATGACAATTACTTTAGCGAGTATCAACCAGGGATTCTGACATTGCGTAGCATCGAAAGAGAATTCTCTGTAATTGAAAACTCTTTCGTGCACTTGCTTTATGTAACGGAATCTCGATACACGATCCATAGAAAGTATCGTCTATAAATCGATCTCGATTTCTCGGATCATCGATCGTTCGAAACGCACTGTCAACTATATTCACCGTACACGGAACGTCGCTATTATCGTTGCATCAAAATTATTTTTTCTTTTCCGGTGACGAAATCGATGAACCGTGCCAATATTATAATTCTTTCGATTTCAGTCGCATTTGCATAAATTTTGACGCAGTTTCATTCGCTTCTTCGATCGGGGTTAGAACTCTTTTCGGAGGTATATATCGATCGAGCAGTTATTTCGATATAAAATTCCTCCTAATTTCTCATCGTTTCTTCAACATCGTTTCGAAGCAGGACAAACGTATAAAATTTGCGAACGTTAAAGATGCGCAAGCGCATCTTATATTTTAGTCATCTGTCGCGTTAATATATCTAATTTTTGGCCACGAACTCATCGTATTCGATTTCAATCGATCTCTCTTTTTGCCGTTCAACCGTTACGAGCATCGAGTATTCCGCTATTACAACATACGTATCTTTATTCTCCGAGACAGACGAGAGAGCGCGATTTTAACGAGATAAGGAGCCATTCGCAATTGGCGAATATAAATGCGTTTCGCAACAGCGAAGGATAATATCGTGGAAAAGGGTTATACCTGGATGGAATATGGGGGAATTTTGTTGAGTTTGTCTTTGAAAACGCGTACCTAGCTTCTTCTCGTCGTCTCGCGTCGTGTCGTCCTCTTAAAGAGGACGTTCTTGGACGGAAGGCTACCAAATCGGACGAGATTACGAAAGACGCGACCGATACGATACATCGACGTTTTCTAAGAACGCAGTCGTGCATTTCTTCCGCTGACAACCGTAGAAAAGATAAGTTGGCGAAAGTCTAGCGAAGCGTCGATACACAAACCGAACCGAATACGCGATCGATTTCAATAAACTTTACGCACACGTGCGTGCAGGCGAGGGTGAAATGAAACGAGAAACATTTTAATCGACTAAATAAATTTAAGCCGTTGACGCGGCAACGCGTCGTTATTAAATATCGAAATATCGAACTCGTTAAGTCGAAAGGCCACCAGCCATTGTTCGTACATTTCGACCGCGTTCCAACGTATCAACGCGGAGCGTATAATTTTCAATCGGATACGAATCCGACAGATACAGAGGGTGGACGAGCGTCGCGCGAAATTATTTCCTCGCCGGTTCACCGTTCGTTCCTCTTTTTATCTTCTCGTTTTATTCCTCCCTGAGCATGACAACCGGTCGATTCGCAGGCCTGGACACAAAAGGGAACTTTATTTTTAAATTCGACGATATTACATAACCTATAATTCAGATGGATTTTACCTAGAGGAAAATTATTCCTCGTTTAACGAAGCGTCGAATGGTTCAATGAACCGTTCCTTTCTCCGAGTATTCGCCCGGCGATCTCGCGTCCCGACGAACGTGTATCATCGATTACACATTGTTAAGGCGATCTACATGGCGGAGCCGTTCGCAGGGCATCGAGGTTGCTCTTGCACTGGTGCGTACACGCGTTTTATATTTAGTCCCCTCCCCGGTCACTTTGAAAGTTTCTCGCAACGTTTGGGAAACAAATAATCCGGCGGTGGGCTGCTATAAATTGCGAGTTTTCTCGATGCTATCTCCTCCGCGCGTTTCCACACCTTTTTACATCCTGTTGCGAGCATCCTGTTTCAGCAGGGGTGTACGTTAATCGGGATCGGTTATCGGTGACTTATACCGGTCAATCGCTGCGACTATCGAAAACATGGCGCAACCTTCTCGCGGTAAGGCGTATTACATGGTCTCGGATCGAGCGCACAAGCAAAACCGTGGCTGTTGGTTATTTCGCCGGGACTCCAGCTGCGACGATGATTGCCGATCGCTTAACGCACGAATCGGGCATTGGGAAAGCAGACACGGCGAGCCGAGGCGCGATCGTTATCGAGAAGCGAAATTGCCACTTCGCGCTCGCATGTTCCTCCACGCTTTGTCCTTCCGTTTCCTCCAGCCTCGTAAAAACTCGCACACGCTCCGCAACGGCGAGATATTCCGGTCCGATGTCTAGTTCGATCTCCTCGTTCTCCATCCGGTGTACTCTCCTCGCAGTTGCATTTGACCTACTACGTAGGTCCCATCCAGCTCAGATACCCGCTTCTTTGCCGTGCGCTTCGTAGCCAGTCGATCGAACTCTCGTCCCTCCTCGTAAGCACGGCTAATGGATACGTATGCCTGGGAAATATTTAGAAATCGTGCGGAAACCGAGCTTTCGCTGTAGCAAAGACGAGTCGGCTGCTCGAGGGCGTTTCAATTTCTCCGATGTCTCGATAAAACTACGCCGAGAAGTGCTTTTAATCGATCGTAACCTCCCAGGCCAACGAAGTTCGTTACGGCGTTTAAATAGGCCTTTCGTCCCGAAGCCCCGTTACTCCGCCACGATATCGGTTTCATTTTTACCAATTCCACGTATAACTTTGCACTTTCTTCGCGCGTCCTGCGAGAGTTAAAATGGCCGCCGCGCTGCAACTTCTCGGCGGGAACTTCTCCTCCGCGTCGTGTCCTTTTCCCACGAACCTCGATAACTCCGTTCGTCCACGGTTATGGCACAAAGAGTCTTATTAGCTGAACGTTCGTCGACTCGAGAGATCTTATCAGAGGGAACCTATTTTTTCGAAGGAATTCATCCGTTTCAGCGATTGTCTCGCAGACACCGAGCTACCGGAGAACAATCGTTTCATCTTCGTTCGAGAGGTACATTGTCCCCGTGACATAGTGAGAAAATATCGACGCCGTGGATCGAGGGGAAACTGGGATTTCGCGATTCGAGCGACGAAAGTCCCTTGGTGCACGCGTCGTTCCTCGGCAGCGCGCCCACAGTTCTCGCTAATCGAAGCGTTCGCTAATCGCACCGCGGTTTCACGGCTCGTACCCTCGTTCATCTCCTCCGACGCAGAATTCGTTCGATTCTCCATTGAGTCGACGATAAATGGGTCGGCACGTGGGAAGTTGGAAAACGGGAGTCGCTTTCTATAAGCGTTACACGAGCCTCTTCTGCGTCCGCTCGCGACTCCGCGAGTTTCTCGTATGAATGTTCCATACGGAAATACGCTTGCACGCGTATTTCCATCGAGTCTTCTAATAGCGTTAACGCGTGTTCGCTTAACCTCGTAACGGACCAGTTATTCATTCTCGATTATTGCTGATTTATTCGTTTGCAGTGCGGAGTTAACGGGATACCGATCGGTTATTAGATAGATACAGTACGCAGCAACGAAAGAGTCAACAGTCCGAGAGCTTGTCGCGGTTCGATGAAAATTCGCCTGGCGTATATACGGTTTGCGCGAATGTAATCGAATTCCCGTTAACTCTGCACCTTTGAACTTTCCTAAATTTATACGACGCTTCTGGACGCCCTTAACGGATTACAACGTTAATAGAATTCGATCCGAGTCCATCGCCGATAACAGCTTTTCCGTCTCCCTTGCCTCAGCTATCGCGTCCTTCGAGTACTTTCATTCGTAATTCTTTTTAGTCCGCTCCTTCCTCTTCGATCCGCGTCATTTTTTCTTCGTTACTAGCCGTGACATCGATTTGCATCTATCCGTAATTTGTCGCACCTTCGCCGACACTCGCTGTTCCTTCCCTCGCGGAACACCGGTTCTCGTCCCGATCAACCACGCGTTCCGATCGATCTTGTCGAACGAAATTAGTTCTCGTTTTACAACGCGATCGAGCTGCGCGACCTGGACCCAGCGAACAAGGGTTGAACGAAACGACGATCGCGTCACTCGAGCATTACGCAATTACGCCGATTGGTTCGTGAATCCGCCATGGACGCTGCCACGAATAGGGTGATCTTGCGATGGCTTCCGAAGTCGGGGTGTCGGCGCCCCACGCCCGATTACGAGAGAGCGAGCCTACAGAAGGGGTTGGGAGGAAAAGGCGATATTTATTTCGATTTATTTGTTCATTGACAAATGACCGAGCGAGAGTGGCGAACGAGGGCATGAGCGAAGGCGAGGGTGAGGGCGATGCAAGGCGAACCGGAGTGCATGTGCTCCAGGAAAGAGAGCAAGGAATATACTCGCGAAGCCGGCCTTTCACCTTGAAACAACATAGCCCGAAATAACCGAGCGTTCTCTATTTTCGGGCAACCTCTCGGCCGGTTCTCGAGTACGCTTTACTCTAATGCATCTCTTAGCTGACATGTACCTACGTGACGTACGCGTATACATAGATACCGGGTCGCAATAAATAACGCCGTTTACCGATAATCGCTATGCAAATCGGCCTGTCCTTACTCGCGTTCGGATGCAAAACGCTACGAGACACGTCCAGAGTCTGGTACCCGGCTTATCTCGTCACATACCGGTGTTACCATTCGCGATACTTGCACGTTCGCGCGGGCTACGTTGAATTTTTCCACGAAAACTTCAACCGTGAATTTCGCGCGACCCGCATCCTCGTAAACCTAGAGAAAGTGTACGCGATAAAAAGGAACGGGGAGGGAGATTTCAGCTTAAGCGGGAAAATTTCTTTGCATTTATGTAAACTCGCTCCCTTGAGACGCGCCAGGTGAGCTTTCTTTCCGTGCCGAACGGATGTCCACCATCTTCTCGCGGGATATTCTCCGCTGCTGTCGTATCGTCGGGATAATTATTTTCGGTACAATTAGGACGGAGGATTGAAATTTCAACGCGACGT